GTATTCTTCCAGCTCTAACTGCTCAGTAACGAAGCTCCTAGTTATAGGACTTACCACTTTTATTTCATTTTACAGTTTTGAGAGTACTTTCTCATTTGATCCTTACAAGAACTAGGTCATGATTAGGAGCAGGTCCTATTATTCCCATTTTATAGACAGAAAACTGAGAGGCAGCAAGTTTGAGTGACTTATTCAGTGTCAGACCATTAGGCATCAGAGCTAGTTTTTTGACTCCTGACACAGAGTCCTTCCCACACTGCTGTTTAGAATAAAGGAGGGTTGTCAGATACAACTGAGAAATAGACCAAGATCCAAAAACTCCCTGACAAAGGGTTAGAAGTTCCACACAGAAGATGACCTTGGGAACACTACTGCTCTTAGGATGGTTGGAGGTCAAGTTGAGCCCACTCCTAGGTTTTGAACATATTACAGTTATCTTTGTTGGGTCATTCTGTGGTCACGGCCATGAGTTGGTCAAGAGGAAGGAAGGCTATAAGCAGAAGTAAGTTGGGCACCTGTCACTTTTCCGGCTCATGCCTCTCTTCTCAGGGGCATGAAGACATCCAAAGTAACCCTCAGTGACCACAAATTGGGAAACCTGTAATGTGATTGCTCTTGATAAAGGCTGAGAAGTGCTGTCAGAGATCTAGGGTGCCTAAGTGGCCTCTGCTTGTAAGGAGCCTAATATAGAAACTCAAGAGTCTCTGAATCAGTGTAAAAAATTGGCAAGAGAATGTTTTCCCATGTTAGTGTGCTAGTTAGCAATTGTTGCAATAATGCTTTGTAATAACTATGCTCATATCTCAGTGACACACAACCAAAACCATTTATTATCTTGCTTACAAGTGTATAAATTGGCTAGCGCCTCTGGATTAAGGCTGCAGGTCTAAACCAGGCCTGCTCCCTGGTCTTCACCATTCCAGGCCCACTGGCTACAAGGGTGTGGTTGGTGAGTGACATAAGCACAGAAGAGCAAGCTAGACCTCATGAGCACATGTTAAGCCTCTGCTTGTGTTACAGTGTCACTAACAGTGCATTGGCCAGAGCAAGTCATGGATACCAAACAGGGAATGTACTCTGTACCAATAGGAGGTACTACGAAATCATTTAGTAAAGGACACAGATGTAAAATTCTAAAACATGGAAGGAGTGAAGCATTGGGAACAATGGTCCAAAGAATCACAATCAGTAATCTGACAGTGAACATTATTTTGAATAAAGTAAAAAATCATAAAACAACAGCTAACATTTATTGTCTTATCATGTGCTAGGCACTTTTGTTAAGTACCTTGCATGTATTAATTTATTTAATCCTCACAACAATCCGATGAGGTAGATACTGTTATGATCCATATTTTTTTTATAGATGAAACAACTAAGGCACAGTTGGGTTAAGGAAGAATTAAGATCACACAGTAGATGGCAGAGGAAGACAGTGACAATTACATTAGAAAGGAACACTGTCCATTTCCTCTCTCTTTTGTGTCTCTCCTGCTCTTCCCTGTCCCTCCCTCCGTGTGCCTTGTCTTAGGAAATAAGGACATCCTGTCACTCAAGCCAGACCCTTAGCATCATCCTTGAGGCCCCTCTCACTTGTCCCTGCCCCATGTATCAGTCATTAGGTTCTGTTGTCTGTACCTCTTAATTCCTCCCATGTCTGCTTCCTCCTCTTCACTCTCTGCCATTGTCCTGCCACTTCCTTCCCAAAGAATCTCCTGTCCTCAGTCCTGCTCCCTTAGCATTGCTACCAGAGGGATTTTCCTAAAATTGCAGATCTGAGCAACTCATTCTCCTGCTTTAAAAGTTTCCAAATTTCCCTGAGCTTATAGGACGAAGTTAGCTTAGTATTCCAGGCCCACCATTTTCTGGCACTCAGCCACACTTTGCTCTCGCCTACCACACTACCAGCAGGGCCTATGCAGTTTCATACCCTCTTGCCTGTGCTACACCCTCTCTCCTCATCTCTTACTCTCCTTCTTTATCTTGTCAATTCACATTTGTTTAGAGTCTTATCTCTGGGAGGTCTTCTTCAATTTATTCCATAGGCTGATTAGATGTCCCTTCTCTCTGTCTCTAGCAGACTCTGCCCTTACTTTGTGGCATTTACCAGACTACATTGCAATAATGGATTCCACTGTCTGCAGGGCAGGGCCTAGGAATCTGAATTTTAAACATTTCCTGAGATGATTCTGACTTGTACCAAGCGTAAGAACCACCACAGCAGACAGGGCAGTGACCATGCTTTCCTGTACCCCTATCATTCAGCACAAAGTAAGCACACAGCAAATGTGTTCTGAATGCACGGGTTAAGTGAGAAGCACTGGTCAAGGACAACACAAATAGAAGGCAAATGTATTTGGCTGCGGAGATTCCAGATGCCAGCAGATGGCGCTATGTCAACATAAATGCTTTTCCGTGAATGGCAGGAGGAAAACAGGAGGTTTCCTTTTACTGGAATTCAAGCCTCAAGTGCTGCATAATTGAATTTATTTTTTTCCTACTCAGTGCGTCTACCACTGTCCTACTTGTAAAAGTAAATTGGCTTCTGAAGGCATGAAGATTTAGAGAAGAAAAACAGGTGGAAGGAGACTGGTCACAGAGAAGAGCTGAGGTGGTAATGAAAGAGATGGAAAGGATATTCTAATTACCCCTATTTCCATCCTTGATGATGGAAAGCTTTCCCAGTGAGCAGTAAGTGTTGTGAAATTACCCAAAGCATTCAAAAGAATATGCCATTTCAGCAAGAGGGTGGAGCCATCCTGTAATTTCTGTTAGTCATCCACTGTTTCCTTTGTGCACTGTCAAACGCCTGGGTGGCTAACCTTCTAAAATTGTTTCCTTCACAAACCACGGTCTGAAAGCCCAGGTCTTCCTCCTGGGCTGAGTACTTTATTCTCCTGAGGAGGTGGAAGTAAACTCACAGTTTAAAGGCCAGGGGCCCCAAGAACAACTCTTCCTCCCCCTTCCAGCTTCCCCTCTCACCCGCTCCCCCCAGGCATCCATGTGCACATGACTGATAGGGCTGGCATGGAGTACTGGGAAGGCTATCAGGCTAGGCCAGAGCTACAGGCTGAGCTGTTTTTCTCCTAAGACTGAAGAGCTTTAAGCCAGAGGCCCTTAGGAGGAAACCAAGGGAGGGGCTTGCTGCCTTCCCAGCTCTAGGTAAAAGGAAAAGTGTAATAGACACAAAGAAGAAAGGCAAAACTCCTGCTCTCAGCCCAGGGGTTTCCCTTATTGGGAAGGTATAATTTAAAGATGTCATACAAATTAAGAACAATACATGGTAGAAATAACTTATCAAGTTCAGAATGATGAAGTATAAACTAGATGGAAGTGCATAAAAGTAATGAGAGATTCAGTTCCTTTTCCCTTTCTTTTTATTCCAAGCTTGGAACTTCATGGCTTGCTCCTGGTCGCAGCTGCAGGCAGGGGCATCCTCCCAGGTTCCCCACATGTGGTTTGGTTGTCCTCATAATGAGAGGTTAGCCCACAGCTGCCTCTGGTTGGGGTCAGTGGCCAGGAGGCTGAGGAGCACCAAGCAGGAGTCTGTCAGGTGGCAGATGTTCCAGTCTTTATCCAATGTCCCTTACCCCAGCCTGGCAAGAAGGGCAGCTCTGGGCCTGAAGGAGCTGTCTTTGGAAGCAGAAGAGCAGAGCCTGCCGCAGCTGTGGACAGCACCCATGGTCAATGGCCAGACTGAGCACTCGGCCTCAGAGGGTGCATTTTGCACACTGTGGGCAGCCTAAATGGTAACGGCACCAGCCATATCTCTCTCCAGGAAGAAGAGAGCCTCATTTGGGGGGCTGAGGTGAGAGTAGCCAGCTGGGGGTAGGTTCCAGGGGCCACAGAACACATGTCACATGGCCAGGGAGACAGATCTGGTTCATTTGTCTAGGGAGGGAGGAGGGGAGTCATCCAGCCAGAGGCCTCAGCCCCACAGGATAGGCCCTGGCCCACAATGCTGGACTGAACAGGATACTAGGACTCAGCTTCAGAATGGCTGTGGACCAAGGAGGGGCTGACTTTGCCTTTATTTGCTCCAAATAGGGAGAGCACATCCTTCAGATCAGAGAGAGGCAGACCTACTTCCTCCCAATGAGTAGGGTGGCAGTGCTTCTTCTTAGAAGGGATCCCACCATTGGAAGGATGGGAGAGAGGAGCTCTCCTTCCTTCTATCCCACAGGCAGTCTAGAGCAGGTGGCCCTGCAAAATGGAGAAATCTTCAAGAGAAAACCCCTTTTCTCTGTCCCTTCTTCTCAAGCCACAGGAGGCTTAGAAGCAGGCGCTGCTGGGAAAAAGCTGTGGCCAGATTCTTTCGGCCCTCGAGGCTGTAGAAGATAACAGGCCAAGGGCAAAGCTACTCTGCGCTGGGTCCTTAGCTGGAATGAGGATAGGCCACTGGTTGCCCAAAGGATTGGGTTCATTCTTGGAGAGCTGGCTTTATGAGGAGGGATCAGGGGAGCCTGCTCTCTGCCACTGCTGTTTTGAGCCCAGGGCTAGTACCTCTTCCTTAGATGATTGGTTAGGTCCCAAATGGAACCCTTTCGCTCCCCAATCTGCTCTTCTCTCATATTTCTCAACTCAGAACTGGTACCACTGTGTACCAAACTGTTTAAACCAGAACATTGGGCATGATCTTTGATTCAGCCCTTTCCCTATGCCTTCATATCAAATCTATTAGCAGGTGTTATCATGTCTAGTTCTTAAACATATCTCTAGTATGACTACTTCCCTCTCCACTGCCACCACAGTAATCCAGACCATCATCATCTGCTACCCAGATAATGGGAGGAGCCTCTTTATTGATCTCTTCACTTCCTCATTCAGCAACCTTCCTCCCCAATTTACATATCACCCACCAACCAGTAGACCCACCCTGTAATTCTTGGGCACAGTACCTTGGTTACTTCCTTCAGACCACTTGTCATAAGTTATATATTTATTTTGTTCATTTTATTGTCTGTCTTCCCCACTAGACTGTGGCACAATGGGGCAGAGAACCTTCTGTTAAGTGTATCATTGTATCCTTCCTGCCTAGCACAGTGTCTGGCACAGAGTAGATAAATAAATAGTTTTCATTTAGCAATAATCATGCCTCAGATAAACCTCATTGGCTTCAATACTGCCACTGTGCAAAGCCACATGAATACATAGTTTTTAGTGGGAAGCATTAAGCCAAAGAGTTTAGGTTTAAGTTAATAAGCAATGGGAAGTCTTCACACATTTCAGAAAAAGGACTGATAAAACATAAGGACATGTTAGGGGGGGAATAATGGAGGCAAATGGATGGACATTAATTAGAGTCCTCTTTACTAATAGCTTCCCAGTTGATAGGGTCTAAAGTAGTGACATAGAAATCGAGTAAAAGGGACAGGATCCTAGAGAGAGTTTAAAGGAGGAATTTCTGTCTTTATGAATGTGTTGAGAAGAAGAGAGAGGCATTGATGTTGTAAGTCTGGTGAACCAGAAAAATAACATTACTTCATCTCTTTAAAAAAGAATAGCATGACTAGGAAAAACCTCAGATCTTAGTGGAAAATTAGTTGCTTTTAGACATTTTGAGTTTGAAATGATAAATATTTCTGATGAGCCACTGAAAACAGCCAAACTGGAAAACTTTGACAATTTGGTCAGCCATGAAATAGTCATGGGGTTTTTTTATTCTTGATTTCCTTATCTGTAAAGTCAAGGAATTGAAATAAATTCTATAATTCTAGCAGAAAGGAGGTAGTTAAAGCTTTAAAATTTTAAACCCTGTTAAACAAATTTTAATGACACAGCCAAATAATTTTGAACTATAATTTTGTCACATCAAACATGACCATAAAAAGGTATGCCATTATCTATTGAATATGAAAAGATTTTAAGTATATGAGTACCTGTCATAGCCCATTTAATTCCAACTTATGTATACTTTTCAATGTTTTCCAATTTTTATATGGCAGCATGTAGTACTTCTATAAACAAACAAAAAAGTAGGACACATTTTTTTAACAAGAAAATAAAAGACTCATTGTGTTAACTTCTGAATGAACATCTTTGAAGTGAGCACTTGCCTTTACACACCAAACATATGTAAGCACAGAAGTTACTAAATGTTCCCAGAAATCATTAAAAATTTCTCTCCAAGAAGTACACATATGTTGATGTTTCTTGGAATTTCTTGCAGCTGGTTTCCCTTCTCTGGTTTCAGATTGTCTTGGTCCCAAAAATCACTGCGCTGGAATTATACAATAAGCCCATTGTTCCAATATTTCTCCCTGAAGGCAAAATTCAGGGATTTGTCCTTTTTTTTATTATTATAGTCCCAGACCTAACTATTAGCTATTCTTCGCAATGTGGTTTTGATCTCTTCGAGGACTGTCACATCAAAAATGTCTTTAATGAGTTCATTCTGTTATGGTAAGGCTTTCATTCCAGCAGCAACCAGCTTGGGAAGATAGTGATGGATGTTGGGGAGAATACAGCAGGAGGAGGGGAGTAGAGAATAGTGCCTGCCAAATTGAGAGTGCTCTTGGTTATTAGATTGAAGTCAAATGTGAGTGACTAGGAAAGAGAATGGTCTGGAAATAATGACATTAAGGAATAATGCAAAAAAAACTGAATATATTTCACCAGAAGAACATAGTATGTTAGATCTTTGTAGCAAGAGAGGTTAAATTTACTCATAGCACCAATGCATTTTCATAAGATGGAGAAAGAAGTCAAGATGATATACAAAGAATTTTTAAACAATTAGAGTTATTGGGGAATGGAGCATGTTGCTCTTTATGACATAAGCTGTTTATCCATATAAGTTTTCAAGAAGATCCTGGAAGATTGCTCTCTGGAAATGGTACAGAGAGCTATATGTTGGATAGAGCATTGGACTTGGTCATTTCTAAGATCCCATCAAGCTCTGAAAACCAATGATTCCACAATAATTAATTAACTAGCCTATAACCTGATATTGATTCCACAGATGATATATATTGTTTTTTTAGTTACAGAGTAATTATTTGGTACTTCTGTGCTGTTTCAGAGGTACATTTTTTCAGTGCCTCTAATTGCATTGAAAACTTAGGTCTCCATAATATAGAACCACATTAGACTCTTTGATATATTAGTTGTGACAGGCTAGGTTATGTTGCAATAATGAGCAACCCCAAAATCTCAGTAGCTTAAAACAACACAGGTTTATTTTTCACTCAGGCTACATGTCCATGGAGGATCAACTGCTGCATTATATTTGTCTTCGCTACAGGGCCAGGCTGATGGAGCACCTACTAAATGGAAAAATGCTGCTCGCCATGGCAAAGGGAAAGAGGAGCTTCAGCCTGAAAGTGACACATGTAACTTCTGCTCATATTTTATTGACCAAAGCAAAACACATGGTCACATCCAAAAATCAGGTGATCAGCAAGATGCATATGCCTTATTTTAAGAGGCAAATAAAAATGATTTATAATGTAAAGAGCATATAATCTGTAATTTTAAAAAACTTAGATGTTGATAGAATTTTTGAAATGCTTCACTGGAATTTGGGAACAGTTTATTCTTTGTTCTCTTAAGTACTTTCAACATTATTGCATAAATCAGCTATAACTAGAAGATATAGACCCCAGAGTAAGATGTAGTTCTAACTCAGAGGTTAGGATAAGACCACCTTCTGAGATAGAAACTTACAAGCATCCATGTGTCACAGCTGGGGTTAGTTTTCCAATACAGAGCATTGTAACAAGTATGGATTCCAAGTGTGTGAAGATATTAAAAGCCTCATCCTTGGGTGGCTGGACAGAGACTTGGCATGGTAAAACTCCTGAGCCTATTGTCTTTGGTAATAACCAGCCTCACTCTTCTATTTCTGAGTGCAATTTGTAATAATAATTACAAATATTATTATTTTATATGTGTGATTGAGAAACACCAGCCAGAGCAATGGTTAGTATATGCTGTTCTGGAGACTGATACTGGTCTTTGAGCAAGTCTTAACCAACCTAGAGAAAGTGAGAAAAATAAGGATTATTTCATAAGTGCAATAGATTGAATATTTATGCTCCCTAGAAATTCATATGTTGAAATCCTGATCCAATGTGATGGTATTTGGAGGTGGTGACTTTCGGAAGTAAGAAGGGTAAGACTGTGGCACCTTCAGGAATGAGATCAGTTCCCTCTAAGAAGAGGCCAGAGAGGTAGCTTTTCTACTATGTGAGGACACAGCAAAAAGATGGCCATCTGTAAACCAAAAAGAATGCACTCATCAATAACTCAACCATGCTGGCATCTTGATCTCAGACTTTCAGTTACCAGAATTGTGAGAAATAAATGTTCGTTGCTCAAGCCACTCAGTCTGTGGTAATTTGTTATAGTTTGCATAAATGTGTTCGATTCAAAGGGCTGTATTTTACTTTGGAATTATGTCCTTACTGGTTTTAGGAGAAAAGAAATGTTTTAGTAAATTAAAAATATGCCAAAATACTGCTTATCACCTCTCAGATTGGCAAAAATTCAAAAATTTAACAATATACTGTTTTGGTGAGGCTGTGGAGAAAGAGGTACCTTCATGTTACAAGTGGGAATGCAAAATAATATGATTAGTATGAAAGGGAATTTGGCAATATCTAGAAAAATTACGTATGTATTTACACCTTGTCCCAACCATCTGCTTTTAGAAATATGTCCCAAAGTTAAACTAGAAAATTATAAAAATATGTATGAGCTGAGCTATTAATTGCTGCAGTGTTGTAATAGCAAGACACTAGAAATGTCCATTTTTTAGTAGGCTGTTGAATAAGACATGGCCTATTTACATAAAGGAAGCTATGAAAAATGAGAAATAACTTTAGGTACTGCTATGAAAGTGATTCGTAGGATATATTTTTGCCAGTTGAAAACCAACATGAAGAAAATCATGTGTGGTACACTACTACTTATCTAAGAAAGCTGAAGGGAGAGAATAAAATTATAGATATATGCTTATATTTTTTTAAAAATAAGGCTACTAATATAAAGTAATTAAAAATAATAAAAATAAATTAAAAAATAAGGCTAAAACAAAAACTTTTAAAACAATCAGCCCACTATAGGAAAAGGGAAGGGACAGGGTACAGAGGATGGAGTCAGTAGCTACATTTCTCTTTAAAGACTATGTTTTGTAAATATGACTTGTTTTATAAATTTTACATAATTATGAAATAAAGTTAATTAAAAAATTAATTCCTAAAAATTGGAAGCAAAATGAAAAAAGTAAGTCTAACTCTGCATTGAGTAGCTGGCATAACCACACAGAGAGGAACTATTTCTAGTACTTCTAAAAAACAGTATTTTCACTATATATCCCTTATGGTGTATATCCTAAGGAATAAAATATATATTGTAAACTCATTTCTGTAATCATATTGTTGGTGGTAGTGTTAGTACTGTTGTTTTGATACTATTTTTTTGTGTTTTGTGGGATAAAGCAATTGAGAAATTATGTTGGGGTACTTGGGAATCAAGATTTTCACTAGGGGAGCAAAGAGATACAAATATAAGAACAATGAGGTTAATTTAAATACCTTGACACTGAGTTTGAATTGACTATACTATGAACTCGTATATACTTATTTTATCTTAAAAAAGAAAAAAGTATTTTCCTGCTCTATTTACTGAAAAAGCCTAGAAACAAGGACAAAATAGCAGAGTGCCCAGATTATGGCCTCTAAATACCATTTCTCGCTAAAAGAAATCAGAGTTTCTTGGAAAAAATGGCTGATTCCAGATTAGGGACAGAAAATATACAAATTGAGCCTGGAACATCATGATATTCAAGAAAGCAAGAAAGTTATCAAGGAATACTTGAGTCATGCAAAAAGGTTTATCAATTCAAGAGGAAGAATAAGCAGGAAGCTGTAGTGCCTTTTGCGACCTACTCTCAGAAGTCATACTATCACTTCTGCCATATTTTATTCATTAGAAATGAGTCACTAAGTCCAACCCATACTCAAGGGAAGGGGAATGAGGGTCCACCCATTGAAAAGAGCATTAAAAAATTGCTGGACATATTCTAAAACCAACACAATTGGTCTCCTTTTTTTTTTCTTTTAATTTTACTGGTCTGTGACCTCCTAAAGTGATAGAAACTCTAGTCTCAGAAACCTATGTTTTTAAAAAAGGTATAAA